TGAGGGGCCCTGGCTCTGATATTTGTGAACTCTGGAGCTGCAGACAGACACGAAGCTCTCTGGGTGCTGTGGGAGCTCAGGCCCCGTTAGGCCACGTGCGTCAGGACAGTGACTAAAACTTTTATTCTGTTTGGGGCAGATGAAAACCCCTCTTCTATCTGGAAGTTCTAGCTGCCGCTGTCCTCTGTGTTTAACAGGTAAAATCCTAAGGCTGCTGAATAGCAAAAGTGAAAGGTCTCATACTGTTAAAAAATTACTCAGACACTTCCTGAAGCAGTAAGGAGGATTTTATTCAAGGCTATTGCAGTAGGAAAGAAAGATTGGTCTCCACTCCAAATACAATAAGGGCAGATGGGGGATTCGTAGCTAAGGAGCGGAGTGAGGGGTTGGTGCTGGAAAATTACTCAGAGAAGGCCTCATGGGTGGGGGGGATTCTTGCTAAACTGACCTAGTAGGATTCTTGCTAATGACTGGCCAAGGACTGGGATGCCAAAGGTCGAGGATGAAGAACTTGTTCAGATATCAGGGGGAGGGGTGCTCTCTAAACGGATGTAGCAGGATTCTTGCTAAATCTAGGCCGGGCAGGCCACAGATAGAATGTGAGGCCAAGGTCAGGGGCTCAGAGGAGCCTGACTAAAGTTTGGTCAAAGAGAGTCTTTGCCGGTGGACTCTCAGATACTCATTCATAACCTGTTTCTTTTTATCTTATATACACTTTTTTTAAAAGATTATATTTATTTATTTGACAGAGCCAGAGAGCACAGGTGGAGGGAACGGCAGAGGGAGAGGGAGAGAGAGAAGCAGGCTCCCCGCTGAGCAGGGAGCCCGAAGCGGGGCTCGACCCCAGGCCCCTGGGATCATGACCTGAGCCAAAGGCAGACGCTTACCCATCTGAGCCACCCAGGCGCCCCTTTTATATACACTTGTAATTTGCTTTATTTCCTTCTTGTTTAGCAGAGCCAAAATACTAGATTTTAAATGGAAGCTAGGAAACCAGTAAAGGCTTTGGAACACTTAAATCTGCAGGGGCATAGGGAATAGCCTAAGAAGGGACAAGTGACAGTAAGAAAGGAGACAACTATAAATGCACGTCAGGTACAATAGCATAGGAGGAGTAATGGGAGAAGCAGCATAACAGCGTAGAAGAGACGGTCCAGCCCCATAAATACTTGGCTATCCAAAAGTCAAGACTGTTCACCAGCAGAGCAACTGTTCACTGCCTTTCTTATCATCTCATTTCTCCTCATTTGTACGGGAGCCCATCAGTTCAGGTGACAAGGATGTGGTATTTGTCACTTGTTTACCGTTCCGTTTTATTGATCATCCTCTTAATCATCACCCTTAACCACCCAGAGTATCATTAGAGGGTTCTCCAGGGAGTCATTGTGGTTTCATCAGATGTTACTTGAGAGCATAGAGCTTCTGTGAGGCCAGGCCAGGGCACCATTTGCAGTACGTGGAGCACGCAGAAAACTGATGTGTGGCCGTGTTTTGTTAGCTCTGTTCTTCCAAGAACCCCCAGAGCAGTCACTCTCAGGTAGCTGAGCTTTCCATCATACTTCCACGGGTAGTCAGGACCATTAGGGAGAAACTACAGACTCAGACGTTGATTGCTGTTGAAGGCATTCAATTGAATTTTAAAATATCCTTTTCTTATGAAGAAAAATACATGTGTATCCTAGAAAAGGTAGAAAATGGCAGGAATACCATTTCTCATGTATCAGATTGGTAACATTGAACAAGGGACTGTGGCTCTGTCACAGCACCATTCTTGATAGCTGCATACGGGATACGTGTATCATAATTTGCTTAAGCCCATTTTCCGGCATTTTATTTTTCCATTCTTTTGCACCTGTGAACAATCTGCATCGAATATCTTGTAGCAAAATTTTTGTTAAGTTTGCCCAGTGCTTCCTAAGGACAGATTTCTGCAAGGGAATTCCTGGGTTGGAGACTTGGCACGTATTGAAGGCTTGATTTTGGCTTAATGCAGGTTGAGGGTGCCTTAGCTCCCTTCCTACCAGTTCAGTCAGCATAGAGTGTGTGAGGCTGGGTCATCACTTGGAGACAAGGGACACCCATGTTTGAAGTGGCGTCATACTTTGTTACTGTTCAGGCCAAGGTGACAGAAGAGTTAGCAGCTGCCACCGCTCAAGTCTCTCGTCTGCAGCTGAAAGTGACTGCTCACCAAAAGAAAGAAACAGAGCTGCAGATGGAGCTGACAGGAAGCTTAAAGGAGACAGACCTCCTTAGGGGCCAGCTCGCCAAACTGCAGGCAGAGTTCTCAGGTACGTCCTTGGAGGGGCTGGGACGTTCACCATTTAAACCTAAGGAATTAAACTGAGAGGCACCTGGGTGGCTCACTCAGTAGAGCATGTGACTCTTGATCTCAGGGTCACGAGTTCAGGCCCAACATTGAGGGGTAGAATTTACTTAATTAAAAAAAAAAAGACCAGGGCGCCTGGGTGGCTCAGTTGGTTAAGCGTCTGCCTTCAGCTCAGGTCATGATCCTGGAGTCCTGGGATTAAGCTCCATGTCGGCTCTGCTCAGGAGGGCATCTGCTTCTCCCTCTGCCCCCCCCACCCCCTGCTCGTGCTTGCTCTCACGCTTTCTGTCTCTCTCAAATAAATAAATAAAAATTAAAAAAAATTAAACTCTGTCCTTCCTTCAAATCCATTCGGCTTGGTGCTCTTGAAGTTGGTAAAGGACTGAGGCAAAAATGAAAGTAGACTGGTATAAACCTATACCATTGCTTAACATAAAGGACTACTAAAGAACTGACTGTTCATCTGAAGTTGATTAGTGACCACTTTCCCACTTTGCTTGGTAAGTGTTGTCCTCAGTGTCTTTGGTACTTGTGTTTGGCTCATGGGCCTGGAAGAGTTTAATGTCTTCCTTTAACTCATGACTCAGTGGAAGTTTAAGAAAGAAGTACTTCCTGAGGCGGCTGCCTCCTTCCTAGAGGGTGGATTCCAACCCTTCAGCCTGGCACTCGAGGCCCCTCCAGCTTGCCTTACTTCCTCTTGTGTTGCTCAGTTCATCTCGGCTCTGGACATACTAGCCAGTCTGCTGCAGCTTCAGCCCATCCTGTGGTTCTGGTCTTGCTTTTTATCCATGTTCTTCTCTGGACTTGGTGTGTCCACTGTCACCAATATTTGCCTCCAAGTCCCCAAAAACCCCTTCAAAAAACTTCCCGGTTTTTTTTCTAGAACGTTTGATCTCCTTTAGAATCCTTTATCTCTGAGTACATTATTATGACCATTATCAGAGTTAACCTCAAATCAGCAGTATTTATATGTCTGTATTTCCTTCTAGAATACAAGCCTCTGGAGGCCAAGGATGGTGTCTTGCTCATCTTTTGCAAAGTCCTTTCTTCCAAGTTAGCATTAGTTCAGTACCTGGCATAAAGGTGCTGCTTAAGACACAGGGACTTGAATAGAAGAGTTGTGAAGACCAGCATGTTGATTCATGCACTTTGGTGTGTAGAAACAAATGTGGAAGACACAGATGGGACCAGGGGGCGGGGTATAGCTGGGGCAGCAGCAGAATTGGGAAGAAGCTAAGTTCGCTTGCCTGAAAAGAGCTAAAAACACTGATGTAAGTTGGTAGAGTGATACCTTGAGGATAAACCCCTTCCCTTTTAGAGCATCACCTGGGTTCACCTGAGGGATAGTCTTAGATTCAAATGTTGTACAGGTATCTTTTCTGCTTCTTTGGTGCCCTATGACAGTTACCTCAAAAGCACCATAAGGATCTCAGAAGTTTTCTGTACAAACTTCATTTTAATGCGTTACTTTTTTTTTTTTTTTTCAGATTTTATTTATTTGACAGAGAGAGACACAGCAAGAGAGGGAACACAAGCAGGGGGAGTGGGAGAGGGAGAAGCAGGCTTCCCGCAGAGCAGGGAGCCCAACGCGGGTCTCTGTCCCAGGACCCTGGGATCATGACCTGAGACGCTTAACGACTGAGCCACCCAGGCGCCCCAGTGTGTTACATTTTTAAGAAATATTCTGAGTAGCTTTATTTGAGCTTTTTTTTTTTTTGGTGTTTTAAAAGGAAACTCTTGGTAGAATGTCCCAGCTACCAAGAAGGATGGGAGTATTTTACCAAGGTGGTGAGACAGGGCCTGGACTAACGCTAAATAAAGATCTGTTCAGTGTGTTGAGGCAGTGGCTGAAATGGGATGGTGGCAGTGATACATTTTGAAAGTGGCTTTGGACGGCTTGAAACGTTTCTTTTTCATCTTGTGTGTGGAGAAGGGGACACACACATACAGACACGAACATGGGTTGGTAGGGGAGTTGGTTCATGACCTCATCTGCCTTTCTCTGGTCAGGGAGGTGGTACTGAAGGGAGTGAGGGGAAGGCGTGTATGTGGTCGAGTCAGGAGACCGCAGGGTGCAGCCTCGGAGGAGCGGCCAGGATGCCAGGTGCCCCTGCAGCTCTGGTTCTGCAACCAGTCTCTCTGCTGTTTTATCCCAGAGCTCCAGGAAACCTCGGAGCAAGCTCAGTCCAAATTCAAAAATGAAAAGCAAAGCCGGAGACAACTAGAGCTCAAGGTGATGTCCCTGGAGGACGAGCTGGCTGATCTTCGAGATGAGAAGGAATCTCTGGAAAAGGTAGATTCTACACCCAGAGTTTCTCTGTTGGACCCAAGTCTTGGCCAGGATTAGCTGTTGAATAAACGTTTTTGCTTTCCTTTTAAAAATTACAGTAGCATGTGCTCATTGTAACAAATACAAATAATACAGAAAAGAATGAAATAAAAAATAAAATTTATCTTTTTTCCTCTCTAATCTCAAGCATTAGAGATAACAACTATAAATAATGTATGATTATCCATGCAATTTGTTCTTTGTGTGTATATAAAACATATGTACACACATACTTGTGCATACATGTATGTATACTGATCGTTCTATGATAGGATAGTGTTTAATGCTTTTTCTTTTTTTTCCATCATGGACATTGTACTAATAAGAATAAGAACTTTCTGGGATGCCTGGCTGGCTCAGTTGGTAAAGCGTGTGACTCTTGATCTCGGGGTTGTGAGTTCAAACCCCACGTTGGGTGTACAGATTGCTTAAAACTAAAATCTTAAAAAAAAAAAAAAAGTGAAAACTTTTTCATTCCTATTAACTACAGCATAGTAGTCTAGTGTATTGTGAGGTTATACCATAACTTACTTAACTATTTACCTACTGATGGGTATTTATATTTCTGTTTTTTCACAATTTCAAGCATTGCTGCTGTGGACATCCTTGTACTATATAACTATTTTTTGCAAATTCATTTGAGCATTTCCATAAAATGAATTGCATGAATTAGAATTGCTAGATCACTTTTTAAGGTCTTTTGTCCTCTTTCCTATTGTAATATTAGTTTGATTTATAAACATGACTGAGGGTATTAATCCTTTGTCACTCATAGATGTTACAAATATCACTTAGTATTTATAGTATCTTTAGTCGTGTTAAAATTTTAAGGTCAGCCTAAACTAGCCCCATAGAACAAAGTGGGAATATTTCTGTCTTTCTGTTCTGGAATAGTTTAAATATGAAAAGAGCAAACTTTCTGAGATTTCTATAAAACTCTCTAGTAAAGCTTTGGTGGCCTAGTGCCTTTTTAGGGGATAAATCTTGGTCTACATTTTCAGTTTCTTCTATGTCTTTATCAGGGTTTTTTTTAAACCTAATTCCTTCTGATTTGGGGGGACTGTTTTCAGTTTTTCATTGTAAGAGAAAGCAGTACAGTGACCATCCATGTACCACAGTCTTTGTGAACGTGATTTATTGCTTCCTTAAGATAAATGATAATTTGTGCAATTTCTGGATGTATTTTGAAAATCCTTTCACAGTACTGCTAAATTGCCATCCAAAGAGAGAACACTCATTTATTTTCCTACTAGCAGGTATGAAAATGTCCCCTTCCCTGTGCCCTTACCACTGTTAAGATGTTCCCTATCTCTTAATAGAATGGTAGATAAAGAACTTCTTTTCCTTCTTCTTGTCACAATTTTTGTCACTCGGTATCCAAGAATATTAAATATAGAAGAAAAATTAAACATTGAATTGTTTCCAGGAAGACCCAGGTCAAAAACTACCACCACTGTCACCATCTTCTGCATTTATCCTCTGTGAAACAGCTAGAGCTGATGATGGTTCTCTTATTCCCAAGAACCTCTCTGAAAGGAAAAAGAAGTCCGCTCAAGAGCGCTGTCAGGCTGAGGAGGAGATCGATGAAATCCGCAAGTCCTACCAGGAGGAATTGGACAAGCTTCGGCAGCTCTTGAAAAAGGCTCGGGTGTCCACAGACCAAGCAGCTGCAGAGCAGGTAACAGGAAACTGAAGCATTTTGGAAATGTGTCTTCAGGCCTGTTACCGTCCTTGAAGGGATTTATTTAGGTAATCAGGCAGGGAGACCAGGGACAGTGACAGGACACACCTGGGTCTCTAGTTCATTTGACAGAGACCTTTTTCCTTGTAAGTTCATAAATTCATATTTGTGTGTCGACTGTTGAGTGAATTGGTGCCCTCAGTTTAGTCTCCTCTGGGGATTTTGACAAAACTGTTTCGCCTGAACCTGTGAAGTTTAGGGCCCAGACTCCGAAAAGATTACAGTGTGGCTCTATCCTCTAGTGACCTGTCTAAACAGTCACCCCTTTCTCTGGTTGGAGTAGCTTTTAGAATCCTGACCACCAATGACATCTGTGTATCTATATTAAAAAAGTACATTTACTTTCAAAGTAATCAAGATCTTTCAAATAGTTGTGTCCCTATTAAATCTAGGCTGTTAGCTTATTCTTTTTGCCTTAGGAAAGATGGGCTTCCCTAGATGCGACTGTGCCCCCTGCCCCCATATGGTGATCGCGTTCTCTTGGCAGCTGTCTCTGGTGCAGGCTGAGCTGCAGACCCAGTGGGAAGCAAAGTGTGAGCAGCTGCTGGCCTCCGCCAGGGGTGAGCACCAACAGCAGTACCAGGAGGTTTGTGCGCAGAGAGATGCCAACCAGCAGAAGCTGTTCCACCTTCAGGAAAAGGTAGGCGTTTCCCCGGGCCAGACAGCTTAGGCGGCCCAGTTAATTTGAGGCAAACGTGTTGGGTCTTGTAAATCCTTCTGAACCTAAAAGGTGTTAATAGCTTGAAAGCCAAAACACACTTGTTCAGCTTTCCAATTTATCGGTAATCTTTCACATACTGATTTCGGGAAGACAGGTCTGTGACCTAGAAAAGGAAAAAGCAACACTAGTGTTCCGGAATGTATTTAATTCCGTTATTTGATCATTTATGAAGCAAATATTTATTGAGTGCCAGTGATAGTCCAGATACTGTGTTAGGGAAAGGACTGCCCTTAAGCATCTCACAGTCCAGAAAGGGAGCAGGAGAGAAACAAAGATAAGCATGAAGTGCCGTGAGACCCGAAAGAGGAAGTGCCTGAGGGAGCAGAGCCAAGAAGGACCAGTAGTGTTGATGAGGTGAAGTGAGGTGCCCAAGGCAGCAGAATGCCCCGGGCAGAGGCACGGAGGTGGGGTGGGGCCTGCATCTGGTGGGTCACTGGCATGAAAGTGACAGAGATGGAAGATGGTTTAGGGTTATGGTATGACAGCCCCCCTATCTGGAGGTGATTTTCTTTCCTTACAGTATCTAGTTAAAAATCTTTGACTCAGAGATGATGAAGGCAGTCTTACAGGTGCTTTTAATGGCCGGTTTTCATATGTCTGTGTCATTGGACTTATATCCCCCCTTTTTCCATCATGCTCTTGAACCTGATAAGGAATAAGGCAAGTGACCTTGGTGGGGAAGAGGAGGTGAAGTTGAGACTGAGGGATGAGGAAAAAGAATGCCCTGAGTCGGCAGGCCTGCGGTGGGTGGGGGCGTATGGACACCAGCAGACCTACTTGAGGTTAACACTGCATGCTTAGGATGGTTCTCGTCCTACCCGTGTCCTGACTTTTACCTGGCAGTCCAGGCTCCCAAGGCCACAGCCCCAGTCTGTTGTTTTGCAGTGTCTAGCCCTCCAGGCCCAAGTCACGGCCCTGACAGAGCAAAATGAACAGCACGCCAAGGACCTGGAGACCAAGCCCCACGTGTCTGGAGTTGCGGCTGCTGCCGCTGACCCCTCAGAGAAGGTGAGTGGGCATTTCGAAGACACATCCCAGGTCATATCAAGGGATTGAATGTGCCTATCAGGCCTTCAGGAAGAATGTGGCCAATTTGTTGTGTTGGCAGCTTTTCTTCTGACTTTAGTGATACACCACTTGTCTGGCTTCAGTAAAAATATACTCTTTGGGGCCTATCACTTTGGTGAGAAACCCCAGAGGGCCCTGTCCTGGGGTTTTGACAGATAAGGGAAATGTCTCTAAATCGGCACAGTGAGGAGCCTGCCCAGCATCTGCTAGCACCAGTCCTTGTAGCCTGCGGCAGCTCGCGTGGTGGCCTCAGCACGAGGAGGCATCGATAAACATGGGCCGCAGCTTGCCAGTCCTTGATAACCCTTCCAAAGAATGCTGTTCCTTATTTAATTTTGCCCTCTTCACAGTGACAGCCTTCGGCCTCTCAGTTCAGGACCAGCTGTGGCACGTACTATGGCACCCAGAGGGCTTCCTTTCAGCCCTCCCGACCCCTCTCTGGCATTTACCTGCATCACTTAAACCACTTGATTTTGGCAGCATAGATTTTGTTTTGCTCTCCTCGCGTCTTCACGCAGGTCAAGAAGATCATGAACCAGGTGTTCCAGTCGTTGCGGGGAGAGTTTGAGCTGGAGGAATCTTATGGCGGCAGGGCCGTTCTGGGGACCATCATGAACACCATCAAGGTAGGGCCGGCCGGTGACTTTTGCACTGAAGTGGGAATCTTGTGGCTTAAGGGCCTTTTGAGGGATCATAAATCCAAAAGGTATTCAAGACTGTTCCTCAAGAATCAGGAAAAGTGGCATGATTTTTATCTGGAAAGATGAGGGCAGCCTCAGGCTAGAGGAAGAAGCTGGCATTCGACCTGCACGAGCAGCTGTGCTGTCAGGGAGCAAAGAAGTAGGAGTGTCTGCTGGTTTCCTGTCACTGAGCATCTCCTCCTCCTTGGCTTTTGAGCAGATGGTGACTCTTCAGCTGTTAAACCAGCCCGAGCAAGACAAGGGACAGAGCAGCAATGAAGAAGAGGAGGAGGAAGAGGAGGAAGAGAAGCCCCAGAGACCCTCCCGGGAGCACTCGGTCTCGGCCAGTTCTGGGCCACCCCCGGCGCCCCTGAGTAGGGAGTCGCAGAAGTGCCCCCTGGTGTCAGCGGAGCAGGCAGTCCAGGAGGCTGTCCCCCTGCCCCCTCAGGCCCTCTCTGCTCCCCAGGATGAGGTACAGGGAAGGGAAGGGGAGCCCGCAGAAGCAGAGGCGCTCTCAGAGATAAAAGATGATTCCCTCGCACCCGAACTGGCTTGTGTCCCCTCCCGGCGACCTCTGGGGCCCCCGACCTCACTTCCCCCTCAGCCTCCGGGCCCTGTGCTCGTGGACGCTGAGTGCGAGGAGACACTTGCTGCCAGCCCACTGGAAAATGCCTACGTCGGGGAGCCAGAAAGCTCCACGAGACTATCCCTGACTTCACATTCCATGAAAGACGACCCACTAGCCTTGGGGCCTGAAAGTCTAGGAGAAGAGCCCCAGCCTCCAGAGCTCAAGAAAGATGAGAATGTCCCTAACTCCACTACTCCCTTGAAGGAGCTAGAAAACACAGAGGCGGGTTCACTAACTGTCGGAGCAGCAAGTGGGTGCAGCCACTCTTCTCAGCATGCCAGGTAGGTCTTCTGAGCAGTTTCCAGGACAAGGCAGCTGTAGGTGGAGGTTGTGGCTGGTGTTTCCAGGGGTGGTAACTCATCCTCAGAGAAGGACTGTCTGATTCACTTACTCATGTATTTGTTCAATAATGCCTACTATGTAAGAGGCTCTGTGGTCAGCACTGCAGTAGGTGGTAGGCAAGGCAGATTTGGTTCTTGAGTTAAGGAGCTTGCAGTCTAGTGGGGAAGACAAATATTTATGTATTATAAAAGTATGCTTTAAAAAAGTGCTTAAAAAAAGGAAATTCTCTATTCATATA